CATGAGCCAAAATAAACCTACCCCTTTAAATTGTGGGTGTGGGGTATTATGTCCCCAGCAACAAAGAAGTGATTAAAACATTTGATTTTACTGCACTTACAGAAGTTGTGGTTTTTACAGATTGAAGGTTTGTGGCTACCCTGCATCCAGCAAGTCTATCTGTGCCATTTTTCCAACAGCTCAGTTGATAACAATTTTAGCAATAAAATATATTTTAGCAATAAAATATTTTTAAATTGAAGTGTGTACTTTTTAAAACTTAATACTATTGCACAATTAATACACTATAGTGTACTGTAAGCAGAATTTATGCCTTGGGAAACAAAAAAATTCATGCAACCACTTCATTATGATAGTTGCTTTATTACAGGGATCCGGAACACATATCGCTGAGCTATGCCTGTACTGGTACTTTAAAGTTCCATGAGATACACCAGTGAGATCCTACAGGTCAAAGGATATGTGAGCATTTGGGGCTGGAGTATTGGATTGGCTGATGGCATGGGAATGAATGCAGAGCCAGCTACACTCCTGGAGATCAGCTATGGGGTGAGGAGACCTTCGCAATCTCTAAGGCTAGGCAAGCATTCTTCCTAATCTCCTGACATTGTGCTTTCTTCTTTTCACCATCCCAATTAGCAATTATGCTCTAAAACACTCACCAGCTACTTCTCTGCCTCTAGGTATCTGGAGAAAAACCATGCTTACCAGAGTAGTTTCTGTTACCAGGAAAATTCTTCCAAAGTGGTGGGTGCTCCCATTGCCTGTGTGCTTGGGATGGGTTTATTATAAGTCAGTGGAATTCTGGAGATTACATTTTGTCTCATGCTGGGAACTGAAAATTGCAGCAATTGGAAGAATGAACTAATGTTTTTCGACAGGTTCAATAATGCTTATCTTATATTCCCTAAATTCTACGAATAAGTTCAGATCACTCCTCTTTCAGAACCTCCCTTCCCAATACCTCTCTCTTTGTTATCTCTTATAATGTCCTCCTTCTCTCTATACCAGAAGAGAAGTGAAACATATTCATGTAGCTCCTTACACTAAGATCAGACTTAATTACTACTGAACATCTTGCAGTGCACCCTCAGCCAAGAAATAGGCATGCAGGGCCATCTGCCGGAGATGCAGAGCTGCGCGCGCTTACGCACAAATATTAGCTCCCTTACTGATCAAGCACAAGCTGTCAGGCCTGGGAAGGTATGAGCAACAGAGCTGGCCTGGGCAGGGCTTCCAATTTACAGCCTACTCACTTTATCAGGAAGGCCCATCAGCACGTACAAAGCCCTTTCTCAGTGCCAGGTATTGTAGGTGCATATTTTATATCATCTCCAGGGTCAGGACCTAAAAAGTTCTGCCTTGTGAAAACACATTTCTAGATAAATGCTTTCTACATTAAGGCCAAATTTTGTTTTTCCTTAACATGTATTCAGGCATAGGAGAAATATTTTCACTAACTCTTCTCAGATGATTATAAGTATCAAAGGACACCAAAATGGAATGCAGTGCAGCTCACAGAAAGTGCTTTCCTCGGATCCTGCTGGTCACGTATGCATGGGCTCCCCAATTTTAGATTTCAGAGCTGCACTGAAGGCGACTCTGGAACCCCGCCCTCGCAGCAAGAAGCCTCCGGCTCTCCCGGGGACAGGGGGTGAGGCCTAACTGCAGGTCAGGCCCCTGACCCGCCTCCCCGCCCTCACTACTCACAACTCCAAGCTCCGCCCCCATCGAATCCCTTGCAATTGAGAGGCCAACCCAGCGGGGCATTTGTGGGAGCGGCGCTGGCGGGA